GGCCGTGATTCTGTACTTCTATCAATTGTACTATCTATGCAATTTGAGAGAGTTCGGTACAGGGAATCAAATCAAAGGGAAAAATGAAAGAACAGTTTCTTTTCACAGTCAAGAATAAGTGATCATGGATGCAATCAAAATGCAAATGCATAGAGTTAAATCTCTGCAAATGCAGTTGTGATTGCTTAAACACCTTATCGATTTACATAGCCTTTATAGCCTTTAGGCTTAGCCTTTGTCCTGAATCTGAAATGAGTCTCTGGTAACACTTCAGTTGCTTTTAACTATTCGTGTTGGCTGTTTCAGTCATTCCATGATGGGGAAGGAGACTCTGCACCGTGGCAGCAACTAGCCAGAGTGGTACTGGAAATAAAGAGCTTGCAGAGGGCACTGGCAAGTTTCACTAGGCTAGGTGATGGTGCAAGATAATATAAATAGTTGACCTGTATCATACTTAAACAGTTGACTCATAGGGAAAGCAAGGAAAACGAGAAGCTTTGGTGACAAGCTTTAGCAGTACTGAGCAGCTTTGAACCACTAAATGTTACAGGGGATTGGCAGGGGATTTCTGAGCAGTGTAATGATGCAAAACTGACTGGAACCATTTGTAGCTTTTTAATTGATGCATTACTGTGAGTGACATCAGTTCTAATTGGGCATTAGGTCCTATCTTCTAATACACTGGAAACATAAAAGAAGCATTCCCCCTTTGATCCACATTGGTATGATTAAAATTTAAGTGCCTAATTCTACTTAGCTTATACTTTCGCTGTTGCCCTGCTGCCCCTGAAGGAATGTGTCCCCAGAGCTTGTACTTAAGACATCTGTATCCTTTAGAAACAAATCAAAATGAACATCCTGCATCTGAATCCTGAAATGTCCTGGTCCAAACTCTTCTCTACACCTTTGCCTTGGAAAGGAGATTTGGAAAATCACGAGCTGTTCCACTTGAAAACACAGTCAGGATTTCCTGACATTTCAGCTGATGCTTCTGGAGTCCTTCACCATTTCTCTGCTGATCTCAAAAGGTTCCTGCTATTCTCAGCACATCGTTTGTACACCACTGAGTTTGCATCTGTCCTGTGCCATCAGTTCAGCCACAAGCCCGGACTTGGTCCAGAGCCAAGTACAGCCTCCATTTTTCTAATTACAGAACAAAGGGTATTCTGAGAAACAGGAAGGAGCTGTGGTGGCAATATTAGCATTCGATACTTTGCAGTAAACAACACGGAACTCAGAATCCCACTGGCTAGCTGCCAGAACGTTATAATTTCAAATAAGTAACTGCTTGTCATTAACACCAAAGATAATGCCATAAACACAGTCATACACAACACCACTCTTTTGCGGAGCCAGTGTGTATTGGTTCCTTTTCTTCTGGGCTTCTCCCTGTCTTGGTCAGAGAAGTGACATCTGGAATTTTCAAAGGTCCTTGGACAGAAGACAAAGCTGTGGTGGTTTGTTGTGTTTTCTTAAAAAAGCCACCACCAGCACCAGAAACAGGCTCACATGCACAATCATGCAAAGCTAGGAAATATCAAAGCATTGTTTCATAAAAATAAGCCATGTGAGACCCTATAGAGATTTGCTGAATCTGGTTTAACTGCACTCAAAGAAAAGTTATGATTCCCAGCAGCGGAAAACATACGCACTTCAAGCAGATGCCACACTACTGCTTTTGAGCATGGCTCCCTGGACAGCTTTCCTCTTTGGGTTCCCCCTGACGAGCTCAAAAACGTCATTCACATTTGTTAATCCTTCCATGCAAAAATGAGTGGGGAGACGGTACTTACAGAATGGGACGAGACTGGAAATCTTCCTGGTTCATTCTTTCAGACTGGCGTATTTTCAGTATTTCTGTGTAACTGAGATTCTGAAGTTTGCTCTTGAACTGATCCAGAGAGCTAGGCTTGGTAGTGAGCGCTCTCATTATTTGTTCTTTCACTACCTGCATTACCTGTGGTTGACAAGGAAAGGAAAAGAAAACCTGTGTTAACACTTTCTGTAGTTTTGTTTCAAATCTGATTCTGGTCACAGTAAGGTTTCTAGGTATAGAAGATGATTAGTACTATGTGGTCTCAAGATAATTTCTCAGCAGCATAACCAGAAAATAAGCCAACTTCTGACAGGGAATCACAGCTTACAGCAAAAGCTCATCCACGCTGTAACAAGAAAATTATTATTTTTGGGGTGTGGTGAGGAGGGTGTCATTTATTGCTTGGCTGTCTCCCTACACAGCGAAATTACAGTTGCTGGTTACAGGATTTTAAGTCCTGCTCTGTCCGTGGCTTGTGTCCCCATGGTAGCAGTAGCCTGGCTCCTCTGCATTCTGAGCTGATGCTCCCGTCATGTTGGGGACAGGCACACATACACCACCAGACTCGTAAGAGCAGAAAAAAGCTGTGAAGTCCTAAGGAGCTGACTGAGAGCGCAGATGCACATCCTGGCTTCTGCCAGCTCAACCCAGGCGAAGTGCACAAGCCGCAGGGACACGTCTAACAGCCCACAAGAGAGACTGTAGAGAGTTTTTCAGGTCTTACAGCTCTCCTGCTGGGTCTTAGAGCTGCTCTCCTGACCAGAAGGCAGTAGCACAAAGCTAACTGTGGTCCGTTACTTCCCTTGTTCCTTATGTCCAGAGGCGATGGGCTCACACTGAAACACAGGAGGTTCCCTCTGAACATCAGGAAACACTTTTTCACTGTCAGGGTGACTGAGCACTGGCACAGGTTGCCCAGGGAGATTGTAGAGTCTCTATCCTTGGAGAGATATTCAAAAGCCATCTGGACACGGTCCTGGGCAACTGGCTCTAGGTGGCCCTGCTTGAGCAGGGCGGTTGGACCATTTGACCTCCAGAGGTCCCATCCAACATCAACCTGTCTGTGATTTTGTGAGACCCTTATGCTGCAGGCACATTATGGCTGTACACAGTGAAGGAAAGAGAACTTGTTAAGAGAGACCATTAGTCAGGGGAAGAGAGAGAGAGATCAATTTGCCAAGGATATGATAGGATTGCTTTTGAAGCAATGCCATAAACAATGCAAACCAAAAAATGAGAATGAAGGATGGCTGGGAAACAGCCATCTATCTGCATATTAATTATTTTATCTGGAGAAAACTGCTGAGACACAGTTAACTAAGGGGAATTGCTTGGCTCCAGTTCAAATAAATACATATCACAGATTACTGTCTGTCTCTCCACAATCCTAGACTCATTTTCTTGGTGCTGGTGCAAATCACACACTTTGAAATATTTATCTGATGCTGTGATTAAGTTGGCTAAAAAGAACAATTTATCAGACGTAGAAAGGTCCATCCCACCCAAATACAACAGCTAAAAACCAGTAGGAAATGGTAACACCCCCCTGGTATCAAAGCGGGTGTGACAGAAATTAACAGCTACACAAACAGAGGGCAAAAGCTTTTTCTGCACTGTTAATGTTCCTTTATTCTTTAATCTTTACCACGTATCTTAAAACAGAAGCTCAGCCCCTCAGAGGTTCCCTAATCATTCTGAAAATTTCTCTTTTCACATGAATATTTCATTGCTTCACATGTGTTGCCTCAGTCTTCTAATTCGTTGCCTGCACTATGTTTTCTATTTTTGCTTCCCGAGATGTGACTTCTGTCTCAGATGTGATCTAAACCACTCATTTTAGCTGTGTCCAGCAGGTGAAACTAAGCAATTAAAGAACTGAAGATAATCTCCTTCCTTACTACAGGGACTACAACCATCCCAGACATCTACTTCAAGAGGAGTGAGATGCTCAGGTGAGCAGCAAATGCCTTTGCCACATTTCCACCCCCTGGATGAGGCAGCCTACCTACACCCACTTGGCTGGGGCTTTGCTTTGAAATCATCCTTGCAGTTAAGATCCTCCTCTTGGTAAATCTTGCAAACCTGGCCCAGCAGAGCTGAGCTCCGCTCCATCCACTCCTACAAATCCAATAGGTACGCTGCTATGTATTTGAGGAAGTCTTCTAAAACTTAGTTTGATGGTAAAAAGCAACGTTGAATTCTGTACTCTACACCTGCACACTCTTCATTTCATATACAGAATTACTTGTTTTCAGATGGTGGCCATGTGCGGCTAAATCCCTCTGAAGAATCACTTAGCTCGTCTGCCAGTGGGAATCAGCTACTTCCCCATCTGAAAGACGAACTCCTGACCGCCATCCGACTGCTTAGCGGGATTAATGCCTCCTTGGCCGCATTCAGAGCGGGCTCGCTAGACCACACCAGTGCAAGTAAGAAATGTGCTGTCGCACCTCGGAAATGCCAAACTGGAAGGCCAAACAACCGTAACTCCTGAACGCTAATGATTGCTCCACCGCCCAACAAGGCGAGTGGCATACTCCTACTGATTTATTTCACTAGGGTTTGGTTTAATAACTAAAAGGGCTTAGGAAATGTAACAAAGGAAACGTCCTCAAAGCAATGGTGGGAAAAAAATGAAGCAGACAATCCCAGCGATAAGTTGGATGTTTAAAAATATCTTCTGTTCCTCTTTCTGCCTTCTTGGCAATGACTTCTTATTGCTGCCAATTAATTTTAATTTATATTTTATATATTT